TCCTTGAAGTCCACCTTCTCCTTCTGCTGGTACCCCTTGGCTACAAGCCTAGACTTGTAGCGCTCGATCTTGCCGTCGGCATCCGACTTGATTTTGAAGAGCCACTTGGACGTTATCGCCGTACGCCCCTCCGGTAGCTCCACCAATTCAAACGTGTCATTCTCCTCGATGCTCTTCAGCTCACTCTCCATGGCCTTCTTCCACTCCTCAGCATCACTACTCTCCAAAGCCTCCTTGAGAGTTGCTGGTTCTCCCGGCATCTCCACCGGAGAGAAGAACTCGAAGGCACACTCCTCGTAGTCACTCTCCTCGTCGTCTCCGACCATCATTGCCGCTCCGGCCAGGGCTGTCTTGCCCTGCTTTCCCGGCGCATCATAGGTCAGCCTATTAGGGGGTTGAACTCTCCTCTTCCCCCTTCCTTCCTCCTCAGCTGCAGGGACTTGAAGGCCTTGGCGTTGCTGCGGTGTGGCTCGAATCCGTGGAGCACTCGTAGTACGGGAAGGGAGTGACGGTGCACGCTCGCTCACTTGCTGCACCTCCTCCTCTTCTTCCTCTGCATCATTGGCCTCCTCTCCCCCATTCACAAGGGAGGATTGCCTTGTGGTTGTGCTGCCGCTGCTCATCTCCAAAGGCAGCTCCACATGCTCCAAACCGGAACTCTTCACCTCCCCAAACCGCACGCCTATCTTCGCCTCATTCTCCACCTTCCAATCCTTGTACATGAAGTTCTCCATGAACTTGCAGTCCCTGCTCACCAAGAACTTCTTGGTGAATGGGTCCCAAAGAAGCCATCCCTTGCTGTTTTGAGCCATGCCCAAGTGCACGGCCCACACCGCCTTGGCACCAAGCTTGTTGTGCCGAAGATGCTTAGGCACGAGCGCCATGCACATGCACCCGAACACCCGAAGCATATCCACCTTTGGCTTCCTTCCTAGCCACTCCACATAGGGCACCCATTTGTCTGCTCCCACATGAGTCAAGGCTCTGTTCTTGGCCACACACGCGCTCCGCACCGCATCAGGCCAGAAATAGTCGGGTAGCCCGGCTTCAATGAGCAACCCGCGTGCCGCCTCCGTGATTGTGCGGTTCGCTCGCTCGGCGATGCCGTTCATTGCAGGGGAGTATGGCATGGTGAGGGAGTGCCGAATACCATTCTTCTTCAGCCACAACCCAAACTCCTTGCTCAGGAACTCTCCCCCTCGATCGGTGCGGATTGACTTGACTAGACGGTCTTGTTGCCGCTCCACCATCGGGAACCAATCCGTCTTCAACGTTTCAGCCACGTCGCTCTTCTTGGCCAGCACGTACACCCAAGTCATGCGGGTGTAGACGTCGACAATGGTGAGAAAATACTCAGCTCCAGCAGCTCCAAGCTTCAGGGGGCCCACCACGTCCATCACCACCTCATCAAGCGGTGCCTTTGCCGTTGCCTCCGAACTAGGGAACGGAAACCGGGTGAACTTGGCTTGAATGCACGTCGGGCAGCCAAGCACCTCATCGGGCTCCCCCTTCACACGTATGCCAGCAACCATCTCATTCTTCACTAGCTGCTGCAAGATGGGCAGGGCCACATGCCCCATGCGCCGATGCAAGGTGAGCCAATCACACTCCCCCGTAGCCGAAGTTGGATTGGAGAATGCCGCGCTCGCAATAGCGCCCCACATACTCTCTCCGTAGTCCTCCTCCGCTGCTGCCTCTGGGTTCTCCTCACCCTTTTGCTGCTCCTTGGTTGCTGCACCACTCTCCTTAGGTTCACTGAACTTGCTGGTCCCTCCAGGTTTGCTCTTCTTGAGCTCATTCTCCTTAGCGCGACCGTTCGCGCCATCGTCGCTACCGACCGCTCCATCCTTGGTGCTGATGCTTGCTGCCACTTGCCTCTCCTTAGGCATAGGGACCACTGGGATCTGCCACATCTCGTTGTAGACATCCCTGTCCTCATGAAGGTCCCAAAGAATTCGATCGCCAAGCCTTGCGGTGTAGGTCTTGGCTCCCTTCGAGTTCGTGTCCATGCCGGCCTTTGCCAACCGCCGCACGGAAATCAGGTTTGCAGCAAGGCTGGGCACCCAAAGCACGTTCTTGAGGCCCACCATCTTCCCATCAGCACCCTTGAACATGGCCTTGCCCATGCCTTTCACCTCTGCTCGCTGCCCCAAAGCCGATGTGACATGCTTCACCGGTGACGGCTCGAGTTCGGTGAGCAAGTCCGGGCGAGGTGTCATGCTATAGGTAGCGCCACTATCAATCACCCAATAGTCCAGGGGGTGTAGGGTCACCTTCCCCACAGCTGCTGGCTCCTCAAAGCCTTCATCCTTCTCTGGACCAGCCGGTACTTGCGTCGACACGAAGTAGAATAGACCCGGGTATCGATCGTCGCTCGGGTCCTTGTCGTTGTCTCCGCTCTTCATGTTTGCAGCTCCGCCACCGCGACCGCCACGGCCTCCACGGCCTCGTCCTCTCCCTCCTCCTGCTCCTCTACCCTCTTGGCCTTGAGCAGGGGTCCAACCATCAGGGAGTTTGTAGCAGTCGCGCCACATGTGTCCGCTCTTGTGGCAATAGTGACACTCGCCGTCGAATCGGCCGCGACCGCGTCCGTAGCTCTTGTCGTCGCTGCCGTAACCGCCACTCCTGCGGCCTCCGCCGAAGTTGCTGCCACCAAACCTTCCTCCCCCTCGTCCTCTGCCTCTTCCTCGACCATATCCACGGCCGATGCTCGCTGCCCCAGCGCCATCCGCACTCGCCAACTCACGGCGGCGGAAATCCTCTTGAAGGATAGCTCGCTTCACGTCTTCAAGCGAGAGGCGGGGCAAGTCGCGATTAAGGTTGATGATGAGCGAGGACCATGACTCTGGGAGTAAGGCCAGCAACTTGGTCTTCTTTTGGAGCTCACTGTAGTTCAAATCAGCTCCCTCAAGCCGCGTCAACAAGTCGAAGAATTTCTGCACCCCTTCTTCAACCGCTTCGTCTTCTTCAATTCGAAGTGCCGCCATTTGCCGTTCCAACACCACCGCTACCGCCGTTGTTGCAGGAGCATGTACACCCTTGAGAGCAGCCCATGCCTTTGGTCCCTTCTCTGGTTCACGCTGGAATGGCTTGATGTGACGGATCTGACTGCTCCCCAACGCTTGCCCAAGTAAGAGATAGCCTTGTGCGCTCTTCCGCACCCACGGGCTCTTCTCCGGGTCGTTCTCGGGGCGCTTCTCCGTTCCTTCCATCACCTCCAGCAGGTCATAGTGGTCAAAGATGTTCTCCATCTTGAAGGACCATTCAGCAAAGTTGTCACCGTTGAACTTGTCAAGCCCAAACACCCTAGGCTCATCCCTAGGTGGGCCAAGACTTGGTTGCATGGGCGCCATGGCTGAATCACGGGGTTGGCCTTGAGCTTGAGCTTCTCCACTGCCACCAGCACCTCTGCCACCCCTTTCCTCAGGTCCAGACATTGTCGAAACTGCTCCAAGGGGCTCTGATACCACTTGTTATAG